CTGACTTTGTATAAATATACAAAAGGATGAAGGCTTTTGGTTAGCGCATTGTAAGCCGCCCTGAGTCTCCGGAGAAGGGCGGCATATAAATCAAATTAAAAAAATAAAAAATAAAAAATAAAATAATAAAATAAAATAAATAAAATAAAATAAATAAATAGAGGTGCCCCGTCCTGCAGGGCAGAGCCTCACAGCCACTTACCTCTTGAGAGGCTTGGGGGGGGTCTGCTGAGCCCTTGCCCCCTTGCATCTTCCCATAGTAAGGCCGGTGGGCATCCAGGCAGATGATCTCTGGCTGCTGGGGTGGGGTGGGGTGGGGGAAGGGCAGTCACGGGGGTCCCCTCCAAGCCGTCCTGTCCATGGGGGGGGTAGAGAATGGCAAAAGCGAGGGGCTAGATGTAAGACCGAGACCCCCTTGCTAAGCTGCAGGGATGTCGGGGAAGGGCCTCGTTCCCAAAGGACGGAGGACTCCCTGACCTTCGTCCTCCCATCAGGATCAAAGTTTTGAACCCCCACGGCTTCCTCCAGCCTCCCTCCCTCCCTCCCCGGCCTGGTGGTTCTCTTGGGGACTTGAGTGACAGCCGAGGAGGCGACAGGAAAATGACACCTCGGTCACCACCCCCGTCATGGGACTCGCTGCCCCCCCCCCCCCGGCATCTCCTTGGCAAGGTGCCAAGGCCCAGCGGCCAGTCGCTCACGTCCAGCTGGTAGCTCAGAGGCAGGGATGGGGTCAGGCCAGATGAAGACACCTGGTTCGAGGTCAGGTCTGCTTTCAGAGCTGATTCAGACCACCAGGTGGCGCCCTTGTTCTGCTGCTCCAACCCAGAGCCTAGTCCTTGTCTTATGACCAGAATTGAGCTCCAAATTTCTGTTGCTAAGGGAAACCATGGGACGACCTTTCTTGCCACTGTTGTTGAGTGAATTCCTGCACGGCTGTTAAGTGAATCTGGCTTCCCCCGTTGACTTTGCTCGTCAGAAGGTCTCCCAAAGGGATCACGTGAACCCCGGGATACAGCGACCGTCATAAATGTGAGTCTGTAGTTTGATCGTGCGACTTGGAGGATGCCGCAACAGTCGTAAGTGTGAAAAATGGTCCTAAGTCACTTTTTCCAGGGGCGTGGTAACTTTGAACAGCCACTAAATGAACTGTTGTAAGTTGGGGACTGCCTGTCCTTGCAGAAAGTTCAGAGAAATTCCGCAAGCAGCCAAGACCGATTTTTTTCCTATTTGGGGGACGTCTCCAAGGTGGGACCGGTGCCAAAACAGGTCAGCCTTGACTTTTTTGACCTCCGCTTCATGCCAGCTCCGGATTTGGAGCTTTGCAGGATTTGGTCTCCTGGGGAAACGTGGTTTTGACGTGGTTCGGTTACCTAGTTGGTTCCCAAAGTCCTATTTTTACTTCTTTTATTCCAAATACAATCAAACTTTATTCAATCATAGAGCAGCTTATCTCTACAGATAAGTCCTCGATTTACAAAAGTTCATTTAGTGACCAAAGTTACATCAGTGCTGAAAAATGAGACTTACGACCCTTTCTCACCCTTACGACCGTTGCAGCATCCTTGTGGTCACGTGATCAAAATTCAGACGTTTGGCAATTGATTCATATTTATGACAGGGGCAGTATCCCGGGGTCAACCTTCTGACAAGCAAAGTCCATGGAGAAGCCACTTAAGGACCGTGTTACTAAATTAACAACGGCAGTGGTTCACTTAGCAACAGTGGCAAGAAAGGTCCTAATATGGGACAATATTCAATGAATGTTTCACTTAGCAACATAAATGTTGGCCTCAATTGGGGTTTTAAGTCAAGGACTAACTATAGGATGCATTCTGGGTCTAACAGAGAGACGAAGTTACAAAATAGTCCTTGACTTACGTCCATTCACTTAGCGGTTGTTTGAAGTTACAAGAGCACTGCAAAAACTGACTTATGACTGATCCTCATGCTTACGACCATTGCAGAATTCCCCCCCCATGGTCACATGACCAAAATTTTGGCCCTTGGCAACCATGGGGTATCTATGATGGTTGCAACATCCTGGAGGGCCAGCCGATTGGCCATTTGCGACCTCTGACACACGAAGACAAGGGGGAACCCGATTCACTTAGCGACTGCATGATTCACTTAACAACTGTTAACGAAAAGATGTGATAAAATCAGACACGACTCAGTTAGCACCTCAGGAACAGAAATTGTGGCCCCAACCTTTGGTCATAACTCGAGGACTATGTACAGTGAAACCTTCCATCTGTCATAAGATGCTGATCTCGTGTTCTTTCAGTACACAACAACACAAGATGTGTGATACTGCCACATAGCAGCCACAACTTGTTCCAGTGCTAAGCAAGACGGTTGCTAAGTGTTTTGATCCATTTTATGACCTTGCTTGCCAGTTAAGTGAATAACTGCCATTGTTAAGTGAGTCATACGGTTATTAAGCGAATTGGGCTTCCCCCATTATCTCTGCTTATTGGAAGTTCGCAAAAGGGGATCACATGACTCCAGGACAGTGCAACCGTCATAAATATGAGTCAGTTGCCAAGCATCTGAATTTTGATCACATGATCAACGCTTCAACAGTCATAAGTGTGAAAAACAGTCCCAAGTCCCTTTTTTTCAGTGCTGTTGTAACTTTGAACAGTCACTAAACAAACTGCTATAACTCAAGGACAGCTGTCAAGTGAGTTTTGCTCCATTCTAGGACCTTGCCTGCCACAATTTTTAAGTGAATCACTCCAGTTGTTAAGTGAATCTGGCTTTCCCCTGGACTTTGCTTGTCAGGGAGGTCGCAAAAGGGGATCACATGACCCCCCAGGACACTGCAACCGTCATAAATACAAGTCAGTTGCCAAGCGTCCGAGGTTTAATGATGTGCCTGTCCATGGGGATGCAACGGCCGTTAAGGGTCATAATTGTTTACTGTCCATGGGGATGCAACGGCCGTTAAGGGTCATAATTGTTTACAGTGTGCCTTTGTAACTTTGGTCATTAAACGAACGGTTGTAAGTCGAGGACCACCTGTAAAATATGCAGAATCCTAGGGTAGGGCTGGAAAGGGACCTGGTGGGTCATCTAGCCCAACCCCTTCAGCCTCCTTCCTCTGAGACTGGACTCTCTACAAGCCAGGCTGCGAAAGCTGCACTTGCAGCCAGGCGCCACCAGGGGTCGCCAGTCTCCGCTTCTCAGCCGCCCCCTTCCCTCTCGCGCCCGCCCCGCCCCTGCTGCATTCACACGACCAAAAGACACCAGATGCGTGTCCCTATTTCTGCACCGACCCGGGTTCCCCCTTACATTCACACGGAAACTAACCGAGGGGAAACGTAGAGCCCGAGCCAGGGCTCGAGGGCTGCCCACCCCCCACAACAACAGGCGTTCGCCTAACTCTCTACGCATGCGCCATGGGGTGGTCGGCAGCCGATCGCGCATGCGCGAAAGTTATTTTCTTTTTCGGGACGGAATCTGCGTTAGACAGCACCGCGCGGTTTTCACCACCACCCCCGTTTTCCACAAAGGCGCATGCGCAGAGCCTGGAAACTGATTGGAAAAGACGGGGAACCTAGGGAGATATCGGCGGCCAATGGCGGGCGTTCTTGGGCGCCGATTGCGTGTATGCCTCCGCCCCTGCCGAATTTTTTTTTACGCATGCGCTAAGGAAAAACAACAACACCCGCATGATTTTTACCAGCAGATGTCAGCAGAGAGCACTGGCAATCAATGCTGCCTGGTGGCCCGTTTTATGACTCGGCTGCAGCAAGTTTAACACCTGGCTTTTTTTTTTTTTTGCAACTACAAACTACAGATAGTTCCCAATTTACGACCACCAAAATTTATGTTGATAAGTGAGACATTCGTTAAGTGAGTTTTGCCCCAAGCAGGAGGCTGGACTAGAAGACCTCCAAGGTCTATTCATTTGTTAAGTGAATCCCTGCAGATGTTAAATTAGTCAAATGGTTGTTAAGCGAATCTGGTTTCCCCGTTGATTTTGCTCGTCGTAAAAGGGGATCACGTGACACCCCCCCAGGGACATAGCAACCGTCAGAAATGTGAGTCAATGGCCAAGACTCCACATAAAAATCACGTGACCAAGGGGATGCTTCAACGGTCGTTAAGTGTGAAAAACGGTCCTAAGTCACATTTTTCAGTGCTGTTGCAACTTTGAATGGTCACTAAATGAACTATTGTAAATCGAGGACTACCTGTATTCAATTTTAATTGTAAGTTGCTTTTCAGAATGAGATGGGGGGGTTTAATTATTATATTATTATATATTATATATTATAAATGATAGATTTTTTTAAAAGTATCAATTTTGTCGGCTGCTCCATTGTAAACCTTTCCACTCTCCAAGCCCATTTTCCGGGATTTGTTTGCACTGTAATTCTTCCTGGCTGGGTTTCCTCGTGGTCTCCCATCCAGCGGCAAAGGCCTGGAGCTGCAGCGACGCTTGCAAGGGGGAAACTGCTGCCCAAGCCACGTGTCGGCGCTGCGGTCAGGCCAAGCTATTTTTCGGGGGGGGGACATCGATAAAGCCTTTCGACCAAGACAAAGAGCCGAGCTGCGACGGGACCGCGTTTTCCCCCCCATCGCGGTCTTGGTTTAGTCCCTTCTCGGATTGGCGGAGGTCTTTGTGGCTTCATCCAATCATCGCCCGTCTGGGCAGCAGAGGCGGGGTCCGCCGAAGGCCAATGGCTCGTCATCGCAGGGCTGCCACGTGGGAGACGCAGCCGCTTTGAAGACGGAGGGGGGCGAGGGCAGAGCCTCCGCCAATCAGCGCTCGGAAAGAGGGGGCCCCCGCCTACGTCACGCGCGGCCCAGGCACGCGGAGCCCCCCCCCCTCGAGCGAGGAAAGGCGTCGGACGGGTCTGCGGGCCAATGAGGTGAGGGCGTCCCGACGGCGGGCCTCGTCGACGAGCGGCCAATGGGCGGCGCGCTGTCAGGGGCGGCGAGGCGCGAGCCAATGGGCAGGGCGGGGAGGGGCGTGGCGCGGCGGGGAGGGGCGTGGCCGGGGCTGAGGGAGCGCGAGCGGGCGAGTCGGGCTGAGGCGGCCCAGCGGGCGGGCGGGCATCGCGCAGCGGCGGAGGCCCCGCGGGGCCCACGGTAGGTAGGTAGCTGGCAACGCGGACGCGGCGGGGAAGCGCGGCCGGGCCCGACATGGGGACCGGCAGCTGCGGGAGGGCAGAGGGACCCCGGAGACCCCCCCCTTAAAGCCAGGCCAACCGCGCTCCCCGGGCCCGCTGCCTCGCACCAGGAGGGCCTCCGCCTCTCGGCCCCTTTAAGGTGGGTGGGCTTCCCTTCCCAGAATCCCCAGCCCAGCCTGCTTTAAGGTGGGTGGACTACAGTTCCCAGAAGCCCCAGCCCAGCCTGCTTTAAGGTGGGTGGACTACAGCACCCAGAAGCCCCAGCCTAGCCTGCTTTAAGGTGGGTGGACTACAGCACCCAGAAACCCCAGCCCAGCCTGCTTTAAGGTGGGTGGACTACAGCACCCAGAATCCCCAGCCCAGCCTGCTTTAAGGTGGGTGGACTACAGTTCCCAGAATCCCCAGCCTAGCCTGCTTTAAGGTGGGTGGATTACAGCACCCAGAAGCCCCAGCCTAGCCTGCTTTAAGGTGGGTGGACTACAGCACCCAGAATCCCCAGCCTAGCCTGCTTTAAAGTGGGTGGACTACAGCACCCAGAAACCCCAGCCCAGCCTGCTTTAAGGTGGGTGGACTACAGCACCCAGAATCCCCAGCCCAGCCTGCTTTAAGGTGGGTGGACTACAGTTCCCAGAATCCCCAGCCTAGCCTGCTTTAAGGTGGGTGGATTACAGCACCCAGAAGCCCCAGCCTAGCCTGCTTTAAGGTGGGTGGACTACAGCACCCAGAAGCCCCAGCCTAGCCTGCTTTAAGGTGGGTGGACTACAGCACCCAGAATCCCCAGCCTAGCCTGCTTTAAGGTGGGTGGACTACAGTTCCCAGAAGCCCCAGCCCAGCCTGCTTTAAAGTGGGTGGACTACAGCACCCAGAAGCCCCAGCCTAGCCTGATTTAAGGTGGGTGGACTACAGCACCCAGAATCCCCCATCTAACTGTACTTTAAGATGGGGGGCTTAAAACCCTAGAAAACTCCCAGAATCCCCTGCCTGGCCTGGTTCAAGATTGGGGTCTTCATGCCCTAGAATTCCCTAGCCAGGTGCTTTGAGATGGGTGGACTCCAACTCCCAGACTCCACCACCCAGTCTGTTTTAAGAGGGCTGTACTCCCAACTCCTAGAACCTCCCAACTCCCAGCCAGGCTGCTTTAAGATGGGGGGCCTTCAAGCCCCAGAATCCCCTTTATGGTGGGTGCACTCCATCTCCCAGAATGCCCCACTCACCTTGCTTGAAGAAGGATGGGCCACAAGTCCCAGAATTCCCCAGCCAATAAATACGTTTTAGGATAGGTGGAGTAGAATTCCCTAGCCAGCTGGGTGTGGGATTCTGGGAATCGGAGTCCACCCACCTTTAAACCATGCTGGCTGGGGAATTCTGGGAGTCGGCTCATCGAAAAGACCCTGAGGTTGAGAAATGTGGTGTATTTGCCAACCTTCCTTTCCCCATTGCAAAGCTGGAAAACAGAGCCTCTCCTCTCCTCCGAATCTCCTTCCTGTGGATAGTGGTAGATTTAGCTTTTAATTTTTAAACTCTAAATTAACTCCATTTATTTATTGGATTTGTCTCTTGTGTTGCTTGACCCAATGAAGGCTGTTAGGGGGAATGTAAGAAATATTGAGCAGACTCGTCTCCAACCTTTGCCTGTATTGTTTTGGGTTGGATTTGGGGGAATTAAAAAAAATGGATATAGCAAACATGTATATTCTGGTTTCGGGTAACTTTAGTTAATGGACAACGGACTTGTATTTTTTTGTGCTGAATGTTGTGATGTAGTAGAGCAGTCCCTGAAGCGGGTCTGGCGTGAGTTGACTTTGACCTATCTTGGTTAAAAGGCTGGCTGGGCTGTTCTGTAGCATTCGGGGCAATGGCGAAATTTTGTGGGGCGCTCCTGAATGGAGTTCCTGTCTGGCTTGTACCTGAAGCCAAGAGGTTGGGCCTCTTTTGCCAAGACTGGTTCTACAAGCCAGGTGTTCTGGTGGCTTCCAAAGGATGAGGATTCAATTATGGAGGTTGGGAATGGCAACCTCCCTCATCCTCAGCTGTTCTTTGAGGGAAGAATGCCATAGAATGAGAGCAAACCCCACTCTAGCACTGATGGTGTTACATAGTTAGGTCAAGAAATGTCTGCAAGAAAACAACCAGCTCAGAGAGCACCAAGGACCCCACAGCCCCCCCACTCCCCTTTAGGCATGTTTCTGTGAGGTGCCTTCTGGTAGGTAAATATAACCAAACACCTTTCAAAAAGCATCCATGGTTTTAGACAGCTGGGAAATAACAAAACATTTGCATTCTGTCAATGGACTAGTCAGACTTTCCACGCAGAAAGAGCTGTTCTTCACTAAACAAAAGGACAGGCAGCTTCAGCCAAAGAAAACCATTAAAGCAACAATCTTACTGTGTAAACCAGTATTATACCTTTTCCACTTCACAAATCCCACTCCCTCCCAGCACTGGTGATGTTACCTAGTTGGGTAATGAAACGTCTGCAAGAAAACCACCAAGCTCAGAGAGCACTGGGGGACCCAACAATGTTACCCGTGATTCGCTTGTGCATCCCACAGGAAACGGGGGAACCGCCTGCTAGATCCCACAAGGGGAGAAAGCCCCATCCGGAGGAGGAATGGAGGTGGAGTGGCTGGTGCTCCTTTGGGTGCCTCTTTGGGAGGGGGCCCTCGACTCCAATTAGGGGTGGGAGCTTAAGGCCCTCTGAATGCCTGCCAAACCAGAAAAACTTGTATTTTGTTGAGCTTGCACAGGAGAGGCCCCTGAGGAAAAGTGAGTGCGTCGGACAGGTTTGCAAAGCGAGGCAGCCTGGGAGCGCCAGCCATTCCTGGCCTTATCCAGGGGAGGAGGGGGGGTGGAAAGGTGTGGAAAAAATAGCGACTTCTGGCTTTTGAAGGGCGAAGAAAAACATTGCACGGAGTTTAACATTTCCCGGTGCACAATTGGGCTATTGTTTCTCAGCCTCCCTTTGACCTCTGGTGAGAGATCTTGGGCAAATGATTGTGTTGGATCCCAGATCCCTTCCATCTCGTTCGCTCCTGCTCCTATCAGGTTTGTGCAGGAGGCCCTCCCGGTCGCTCCCATTTTCAAGGTTTTTTTGTTTTTTAGGGGAAACCACCAAGAGCCGTTGGGTTCCTTTTGTTCGCTTTTCTGTCAATTCAGCAAAAGCCGCTCCGTCTCTCTTTCGGTGAGGAGGAATGCCGGGCCAATAATCAAAAGGGATCCTGAGCCTTTTTTTGTGGGTGTAGGAAGAAAGGCCACGATGGGAGGTAAACGGCCAAAGTTACAACCGCACTGAAAAATGTGACTTGTGGCTGTTTTTCACACGGCTGTTGCAGCAACCTCACCATCACGGGATCAAAATTCAGATGCTTGGCAGCTGGTTCATATTTATGACGATCACAGTGTCCCGGAGTCTTTTTGCGACCTCCTGACAAATCCAAGGGGGGAAGCCAGATTCACTTAACAACCTGGTTACTAACTTATCGACTGCAGTGATCCACAGCTGTGGCAAGAAAGGTCATAAAACGGGGGAAGACTCACTTTTAACAATGTCTGACTTAGCAGCAGAAATTTCGTCCTCGGTTGTGGTCGTAAGCCGAGGACTGCCTGTCGTATTGAAACAGCCCCCCGCAGGCTGATTCCCTCCATTCCTGAGCTGGGCCAGCCATGATGGCGTCCTCTGGCTATTTACTAGCAAAGCCTCAGAGTTTGACCCAGAACTTGTGACGATATGATATGACGGTTAAAAGCGGAGCCCTTTCGCCCGCCAAGAAATACCCTTGGCTGATTTACTGGGAATTGGGTTTCGATGGAGGCCGCGTCTCGGATCCTGGTCTGAGCGGGTAATCCGGCTGCCTATCGTGGCTTGCAAGAGACCCAGCCACCATGTGTGTGGGATTGTGCTTTCATTGGCCTACGTATCGAACCTCCACAGAGCTTGCTGGTGCTGGATCCGTGTCTGAAAGCCGGGCTTGTGATTTTGCTGAATCGGTGGGGTCTCCGTGCAGCATTTAAGAAGAAAGGAGAGGAAGGTGCAGTGAGTAAGGGAGGAGGAGGCTGTTAAGAGGGGGGGGGAACCATTTCACAGAAGCCTCTAAGCCAGCCTCACCAGCCGCAGCAAGCTCTGGCCGGCCTTCCGTGTGCGTTGCGCCTCCCCTTGTCTGCCCAACGAGCAGGGAATGTGGGAGTTCATCACGGCTATTTTTACTAGCAGCCGTTCAGCCTGGCTGGGTGTCTGAACGAGCCCTTTGCCTGGAACAAGGCAGCCGCGAGACTGGCTTAAGGATTAGCTTCTTCCCAGCTAACCACCGTTGAAATCAAAGGAAGGGGCTTACAGGAAACAAGCTGGAATTATTATTATTATTATTATTTAAAGCTGATGTTTTTAGGCAGTCTGCGGTCATACTAGAAAGAAGAGGGGGTGCGTAAAACCATTCAACCAGGGTTTGATTTAAACTAGCCCAGGTGACCAGGCAGCCTTAAAATAAAACCCCCAATAAATAGACTTTAAGGTTGAAAAGGGAGGCACGGAGGGTGCGACCGTGTAAGAAATGCCTCCAAGATGTGCAGTAAAATGGAGAGAATTAAAGTGTATTAATCTACCCGGAATAAAAGCGTCGGAGGAGCCCAACTGTCAGGCCCAACTTGGAAGAAGAGGATGGTGGGGGGGGGGGGGGAAGGCCGTTGTCCTGGCAGACTCCCGTGCTGAACAGGAAGCCTTTAGGGGACTTCCTGTTGGGAAAGCCTGGAGCCATTCCAGAGCCTGGGAACCTCTTCTCCGGAGTCTGGCTTTGGCGTGTCTCACTTCAAGGGGCGGCCCCACGCCGACTTTATGGAGCTTCCAGCTTGAGCTTCGGCAGCCTTGAATGGCGCAAGAAGTTACAGCAATGGAGCCAAAAGGGGTTTCGGAGGATGGAGAGCGGAGCAGCCCTAGGAGAGGGCTCCCCGTTGCCTCCTCCCCTCTTCC